TTTTTTATGTACTAATGTGAATATACTTTTATATTAAATTCTATATTGCAAAATATATATATATATTTATTTTTATACATATAATAATAATAATAATTTTGTCAGACGAATAAACTTTATTGAAAATATAATTAAAAAGGTGTATTTTTCAAATTACTTTTTTGTTTTTTTTTTATTATGCAACATACTCCTCGTTCTTTCTTTTAATTATATTTATTTTTAAATAAAAAAATTACATGTGTGTTAAATATTTGAAAACTTTCTTTTTTTTTTGTTTGTTTGATTAAAAAAAAAAACAGAAAATAGTATAAATATTATATAAATATTAATTTATAAACAATACTGTTACAGTAAAAACACATCACAATGTTCAATTAATTTTAATTGGAATGGTCACTCTTCAGTAGTTTTATTTTAGGCTTTACATTATTATTTCATTTTTAATATCATTTATAATAATAAGATTCATCACATACAATGATATTATAATAATAATAATATGCCAATAAAAATCATATTATATATATACCATTGATACATAAATTAACATTGCTGTAAATAAAGACTAGATAAAATTAAAAATTCATTTTTTTTTTTTTTTTTTTAAATTAATAACATGCTTTTAATTTATATACGATGTATGTATATATATATTTTATCATAAGAAATTGAAACCCTTTGCACTCGAATGGCGTCGAATTAGCGTTCGGTAGATTTAAGTGAAAAAGTCGAATGGCGCTGATACGGCGCCCGACTGATTTCAAGTCTACTTATTGCATGTTATAAGGTATTTCTTTTAAGATATACTTAAAGATAATACTTAAAGGTTCGAAAAGAGTCTGTAAGGTTTACTCTTATCGTAATACACCTGGAGATAGGCCGGAAGTAACATATTATTGTGATACGTGTCTTGATAAACCTAAGATGCATTCATCTTGGGTATTGTTTTACAAAATATCATAACAAAAATTAATTACAGAGTATGATTACTTCTAATTTAGTTGTTTTTTTGATATAAAAATAAATAAATTGATGAAATTTGATTATTTGTTTAGTACAAAAGCGAAAAAGGGCCTTGAGTGTAAAGGGTTACATCAATTTCTTGTATCACAGTCGAAGCATACGATACAATGATGAACATCATAGTTTTTTTTTTTTTTTTCACGCATTTAATTGAAATTATTAATTTAATTTTCTTAAATAATATAATTACCATTGTGAAGTGATACCATAATTAACAAGAATGATTTGTTTTCTTTTTCTTTTTTTCTTTGTACGAAGCAGCACACCAGATAATAATAATAATAATAATAATAATAATAATAATAATATTGTGTGATTACAAAATGTATTGACAAAGAGAAATATATTTGATATATTTGTAAAGACTGTAGATTTATTTTTATGAAAGCATACATATTTACAAATATTTTTTACTGCAAAACTTGTTATTTTTTTTTTTTTTACTGCACATGAAAATACATAAGTTGATCTACGAAATAGATCGGTTAAAGCACTTTTTTTTTTTTCCTTTACTACTGCGTTGAGAAAACTAGTGATAAAAAGTATAATAGAAAACATAAATATTATTTATATATATATATATATTATATATAAGTTATAAAAATTGAGACATAACATTTAAAACAAATGTTATATTTTAATATCCTGTTTTTGTTTGTTTGTTTTTTTTTCTTCTTTATATTAGTGTGTTTAATAATAATATGTGGTCAATTAATGGCCTTATTATATTTACATTTCTAAGGGATCAGAAAATATTGTTAACAATTAAAAACGTGCTTGTATTTTCTTCTTCTTTTTTTTTCCTCTTTTTCTTATTCAGAATATTCTATTTAAAAATTCACATTTCACATAAGTTGTATCGAGATGCATTTAAAAAAAAAAAAAAAAAAACATTATCAGTTTCACAATGATGTTACATTTTATATTCGTACACATTTCTTAATCCCTCGAAATATATTTTGCGCGTTAATTGTGTGCGCAAATAAAATAAAATTAAAAAAAAAAAAAGAAGACAGAAAGAAAGAAAGAAAGAAAGTAAGAAAAACCTAAGTTTGCGAAAGTATGAATAACATGATAAATATGGTTTGTTTGTTTCGAGTGTGCCATTATTTGTGTTTTACTTAAAATTATATTTCATATATTACCTGAAAGATTTTATATTCACTAAATTTATGTTCAGAATGTTTTACGATGAATTGCTCTAATACCATCTTCATCATACTCTCTTTTACTAACCCACATTTTCTTAAATGTATCTAAAGAGGCCAAAATGGATCCTCCAATCCAAGTACTGTATAAACGTTCTTGAGGAGCCGATATCTGTCAATATATAAAATATTATATAACAACTAAATATCATGACACACACACACACACACATACAATAAATATTTAATAATTAAACATTAATTAATTGCATTATTTAACCCTTTCACTTCGAGCGCCGGATATATCCGACATCTGCCCGACGACTTGTTCGTACGTGCGCCGGACATATCCGGCATCCGCCTGTACTTCCGTACGGTGACGATACTTCGGCAGACTGGACTGTTGAAGCGAAAGGGTTAAACATTTTAAAAATAATTTACCCTGATCTTTATATCCTTTGATGCCATTTTACGAATTTCTGATAACAGTCTATCACCAAAACCCTGAACAAAATATGCAATGTTTTAGTATAGTTTATACATAAATATATATATGTATATAAAGATTATTTTTATACATACACGGAAGAGTGTGGATCCACCAGATAAAACAATATTTTGTAACAAAACTTTTCTCAAATCTAAATCGGATTTTTGAATGGAGAACATTAATACTTCATGAATTCCTTCACACTCTTCACCGATTAGATCCGGTCTGAAAAGTACTTCAGGAGCTCTAAATCTAGCTGGACCAATCTATTTTAAAAGATTATTAATAAGATATAAAATATAATGTTAATAATAAAGTGAATATCAATTTTCTAACCTCTAAATGACTGCCATCAGGTAAAACATATTGAAATTTCTCAGTTTCAATAGTTTCTTCCTTCTGAGGATTACTTGCCAAATAGCAAGATCTTTCCTTAATTGTTCTAACGATTTCAAATTCAGCTGTGGTTTTAAAATTAATACCTTCTTTGCGTAGCAATAATCGTAAATGTCTTGTAACATCTCGACCTGCTATATCTACCCTCATTATACTGTGAGGCATAGCAAAACCTTCATAAATTGGTACTGCATGTGTTACACCATCACCAGCATCTAAAACTACTCCTGTAGTTCTTCCTGTGGCATATCTACATTACATATATTAAGATATAAATAGATAACAAATCAAATACACAATAATAAAACAATGTTTCTAAATGATATACAATTCTATCCCTTACAAACTAAGTACAGCTTGCATTGAGACAAATAATGCTGGTGCGTTGAATGATTCGAAAAATATTTCAGCAGCTTTTTCACGATTTTTTCTTGGATTAAGCGGTGCTTCTGTTAATAAAACTGGATGTTCCTCGCAACAAGTAGCTAATTGATCTTTACTATAAACATAAGTCCAAATTCTTTCCATGTCATTCCAATCTGTGACAACACCATGTTCCATTGGGTAGCGTATTGATAATAGACCACGATGTTCCTCTGCTATTGGACCCACAAAAAGATCTCCTTCTAAAGCTCCAGCCATAACGCGTACATGCTTTGGTCTTCCAATGCTGTCAAAAAAAATGGAAATAATTAAATATTTAAATACAAACATGATAGAGAGAGAATATCATTTATAGTAATATAAAAAAATATTAAGAAGAAAAATCTAATAATATAATGAGTAATGTAAAAGACTGTCAAAATGAACTATTGTTCAAATGACAAATTTAAAGTCGCCACCTGTCTTTAACCTCTAAAACAAAGATGAAGAAAGAGAGAGAGATAAAGAATGAGAGAATATTCGTTATGAATTTTAATGAATCATAATCACAATTTATTGTACTTACTAATTTGAAAACCTGCATTTTGGTAATTGGTCACCCGCGAAACCAGCCTTGATAACACCAGAACCCTAATAAATAAGATGAATGTTTTTTCATAATGCTCACTTTATCGATTTTAAAATAGTACAGATGCAATAGCATTGAATAGAAATTTTCTGACAATTGTTATACAATTTGAAACAATATACTAACACTAAATAATAGAAATAAAATTAATCAAGTATAGTTAATGAAATTATTTTAATAATATACGTATGATGTCTCCACATTATATATCCAAATATGAATAAATGTCGGCAAAGTTTACGGCCCGACAATATGGCCTTACTCAAAGTTTGACACATTTGCCGAAAGACAACTGAACATTTGTATTCCATTTAATTTCAACACTAACAAACACTCACATTGTCGATTACCACTGGTTGATTGACAATCATGTCATACGGCTCCATTATTATTAAAAATACAGTTTTAATCTAAAATAAAATTGTTTAATTGAAGAACTGTAGTTTCACTGCAGTCACACACCTATTTCTTTGGATGAGCTCTGTCGAGCTACCAAAAGAAATTATCGATTATTCCGCGAGAGAGAAATCAAATCTCGAATCTGCCATTCGATACGAGATCATCAAACGCGCGAAATTCAAATTTTACCGCCAATTGACGATTATTCAAATAAATTAATTATACATTTCACAAAATAATTGTAAATAATCAATTTTATGATTTATTTCTTTTTTTTTTTATATATATGTATATATCTTAATTATAACTATATTATTTGTAATTTGTTTTTGTATATAAAATTATTGCATTTATTTTATTGTACGAATTGTTTTAATGTTACGTTAAAAATGAATTGAAAAGTTTTGAGCTTAATACAAAAATCATTTTTTTTTTTTTTTTTATCAAATTTGATTTTAATTTGAATAAAGATTAAATTTGTTTGTTTATTTGTTAAAATTCAAAACTTTTCAATTCATTTTCGTCTATATTATTATATTATTATTTGTAATTTATTTTACTAACAATATGTCCGCTATATCGTATTATCAATTAACACAATTACGTTTTTAATTTGTAAAGATATAATAATTAAACAAAATTTATATTGTATTACAATTTAGAAGTATAATATAGTAAATAGATTTATTTAAAGTAAATTACACAAAGTAAATTTTAACAATTCACAGCCAGTGTGTCATTGAAAGTGGCAAGATACTTTCTCATTATTTTTCTAACAAAAATCATAATTTTAATTATTTTTTTTTTTTTTTTAATAATATAATATCTTTTGTAACAAAAAATAAAATCTTTTTCATTTTGTATCATTAAAGATGTTCATACTTTAAAAGTATTGAAATAGAATGTAACAAAGAAAAAGAAAAAAGAAAACATTGATATATGCATTTTTAAATTGGCTGTTAAAAAAAGAAATACATATATGTTTATAATAAGATAACATATTAAGTGGATTATTATAATAATATTGAAAATATTTGTTGAACAGGTTTTGCTCATTAAATTGCATAATGATTGTGTCATTGTCGTTCATGCCACATTCACAACATTATAGTATTCTATATAGATTACTGTATTATGCATAACTAATATAATGATAATGAAGATATATATATTTGCCTTGTAAAGTGTGCATAGATCAATATGTTATAATGTAGACTGATTTGTTTTACTTGTTACTTGTTATTTTTGGCCTCACTATATATATAAATAGAGAATAATGCATATATAAAATATTTGACAATCATTAAATGCATATTGTGCTGTACATGTTACTTATATACTACTTAACGAATAGAACTATATATATATATATATAAAGTTTTATAATATACAGGGTGTACTTTTTGTTTCCCCCTTATTTTCGTGCATAGAATACACCGACACCATTGCATACACCACCAGGAATAATCTCAAATATTCTGAATATTTTGATAATATATTTAAAAGTTGAATTTTATATATAATCATTTGTATCAATTTATTATTATTATTATTATTATTTGAAATCTTGTTGTGTTTGTTATACCTTCATTAAAAGAAGGAACCTCTTTTCTGATTTCTTCTTCTAATTTTAATTGTATTATTCTATATTTAAGAGTATATTGTATTTCACGAGTAATAAAATAGTTTTTCAATAAATTTCTGCCATAAGTAAAACCACCAATGACGTCCAACCTGTAAATGGGTGACTACCTTTTCCACTACCTAAAGTATCTCTATAATTTTCCCATACGTAGCCACTATATTTGTATTGTTGCATAACATTTTGTATTATATTATGTCTGAGATCATCATAAACTTTTTTTGCTTTTGATTGATAAGGTCCTTCAGTTTTGGAATAATAGTGTGCAGCTCGTACTGTTAAATAATTTAAATTTATCCAAATGGCACCACGCCAATAAGGTGGATCATGTTCCGTATTATATTTCATATAAAGTGGTGATGTTTTTGCTAACGATCTTAATCCATATTTTGTCCAGAGTAAATCAGGATCAGTTAAATCCTGTAAAACTTTTTCTAAATGTGGTGAATTAGGATGAATAATTTGTAATATGAATGGAAATAAGGATACGTAACCAAAAGAGGAATCAACGTATCTTAATGTTGGATCATCAAAGACAACTCTAATCATTTCTGAAGGTTTTACATTGGATTGCGAATTTGGTCTCATTAATACAACTTTATCAGTATGAAGACCAAAATCTGAATAAGTTTGTGTATTAAATGACCAATGTAATTTATTCAATAAATTATTATCAGACAAATAATCAAAGGTCTCTTTGTATTTATTATTGGAATGATTCAAGACCTCTGTAATTCTGGACATGACATTAGCAGCAAATGCAATCCAACAACGTAAATCAACATGTCGTTCATAAATATTTGGATGTGAAGCTCTAGGATAATCATCTAATCCTGACGTAAGAGTTTTTGGATTTAATTCTCTGTTAGTATCGGGATCTCTACCTCGCCATCTATATGTACTTGGTAATTCACCAATTTGTGTTGTATTAAACCAATTGAACCAAGCTTGAAGACGTGGATATAATTTGTCAAGAAGATGATAATGTTTATCTAACAATTCTTCTTGTTTATGTTCAAGAATATAATGTAAAGTCAAAAAGAATGTTGGAGGATTCGCATTGGTGTTCATCTGCGTTACAAATTCATCTGGAACTTTGGCTAACGCTTCAGGACCTAAAATCATTTCTCTTGGTATCCAACCTTCGATGTTCATTAAATCAAACCAATGACTTATAATATCTAATTCAATTTCTAAATCCCATGCTGAAATAAGTAAACCATGAAATCCTTCATCCCATAGAAAACCACGTGGGAAAAAGCTTCTACTAGGTACTGCTGTATACAAAGGTGCTTTCCAATAAGGCACAGGACCTTTTGTGTGTGTACTTTGAACTTGTGAACTTCCATAGAAGTAACCGATGGAACCAATCATGTTGGAAAATGCCATTTTAGCAAAAGATATTTCTTCATTGGAATAACCTTTGGATTTTAATTTGAAAATCTTTTCAAATTTATCATCAAATAATTTACGTTGTTTTAGTAATTCTTGATCATATATATCATTACTCAATTTATCCAATCTATTGGTGAAACTTTCAGATTCATAATTAATTTCTATTTCAAAAGGAACCTTTCCTGTTACTTGTGTAACAATAAAATTAGGTTTCTCTTTAGTTCCATCTGGTAATAATGAAAGTTGTTCACCAGATAACACTATATGTTTCTTGTTACTTTTTTTATACGATGCTCTTCTCAAATTTTTAAAAACAGTTTCTGTTAATGCAGTTAAACTTGGTGCAGTTGTTGATAAGAATGAATGTTCCTCTATAGTACCTTTAGTTACATGTATATTAATATTAAAGGAACCTAATCCTTGTGTATTTCCAGACATTCCTGTTAAATTGTCATCATTGTCAGAATTCACTTCTATCCATCCTTTTGTATTTTCTTCAATAGCGATATAAAATAGTAAAGAGATTTCTTGTTCAAGTTTTTTAGAATCTTTAGAATTGACACTGATTTTGTTTGTCCAATCACCGCCATATTGACCACTCAGTCTTTTTACAAATGTTGTTGTTAAGATAACAGATGAATCAACTATCTCTTGGATACCAAATGTTCTTCCATCGTGTTCCAACCAACCATATCTACAATTAAACTTGATCAATATGTTTCAGAATAAATTAATAATTTAAAAACATAAAAGAGTATACAATTACCTATCTAGTTGGTCACCCTGTTCACACCAATGTCTAAGACCTCCACCATCCAGTCGTAGATGTTGTGGAGAGTACCACATTAGTCCAGTTACCAAAGAATGTGGATCTCTTGTTTTCATTCCAAAGTATACGTTGGGTCTGTATGTACCCCAATATCTGTCAGGTACATCTAACCCGTTCATGGTTACCAACTAAATATACAAAAATTCATTTTAATTAAGATAACACTAACACTGTTTAAATGTCTTATATATATTGTATATATATGTTATAAAATACTCCATCATACCTTTTCTATTTCATATGGTGTATTTACCCTAGTTTCAAGGTACCCTTTGAAACTGAACCATGCAGCAATTGCAATGCATACTGCAGTAATGACTGAATTAAATATTGGTAATTTTGTTTTATTAGCATCTTTTTTATTATTCAATTGATTGTTGTTTAATTTGTTTCTTGGTTTCATTACTCTTTCTTGAGTTTTGATCCTAGCCATTTTTTGAGGTGTTTGTTGTTTTTAGAAAAATATTATTTTTATAATATTATTATCACTATTATTTTGTTATCTTTAAATATAATATTGTGTATGTGAGTGATAAGACATTGCACATTAATTAAATAATATGTGAAGTTTTGAAAAATTAAAGGTTCTGTTCTTTTTAATTTTTTTTTTTAGGTTAGAACATATATTTGACAATTAATGATTGTTTTTGTTATCAGAAAACTATAATACACTATGATAACTGTTAATAAATAATAAATGTAATAAAATGCACATATAATAATGAAACGTATGTTAAAGTTATCTGTAAATTACACGTACATATTTAGTAACTTAGAAAAAGTATGTATGCCACATGTCGAGTACGATAACGAACTACATTAAACAGATCATGTTTTGTATTATCATGCATTTATTATTTATCAATAAAATTATATTCAATCAAATTATATTTGTAATAATTAATATTGTTTATAATATATAAGAAGAAAATTGTATTAAAAAATAAACAATTAATAAATATATTTATATATATATATATATATTATTTTTATAAAAAAAAGAAATACACACACATGATAAAATAATTAAAGATCCGATAGTAAGTTACCATCGGATCTGTAATGTCGGTAAGTCCCTATGGTAAAAAAGTCATCTTAGTTAGACTCTTAACCACCAGTGGGCGATAGTAAATACTTAACGCGATGACAGTACAATACTATCAAAGAATGGTACAATCCTATTAAAAAATGGTACAATATTATCAAAGAACAGTACAATACTATCAAAAATTACATTATTATATTTCACAATTCCATGCAAAGTTTAAAAAATTTTATTTTTGATTATTTACTGTCATTGCTGCAATATTTTCTTCACATAATATTTTTTTATGTATACTACATATTAAAACACTGAGATTAATTACATTTATAGTATTATATTTTGTTTTTCTTTTTCTTTTTCTGGGATATTAAAATATGAATGAAATCCAATAGCGTATCAATGGCGGTCAACTAACGTATGATTGGTATTTGACTAGCGTATTAATGGCGATCTACTAGCGTATTAATGGCGTTCAAATGGCCAATATGGCGTCGCCAGAATCATGATAATTAGTCAATTAAGCAATAATTATTAGTCTTAGCAGTACTACACATTAATAAAATGTGTATAGAAAAAATGTATATGGAAAAATGGCTAACTGATGAATGTATTTAATCGATTTCTGTACTTTTCCAAGTTTGAAATTCTTAAAAATGTATAAATGTAAAATCAGCATTATTAAAGTATTAAAAATAATTCATCATTAATTCATATACTTTTATATTTATTAATGAAATTTCAAAAATTGCAAAATAAAATGAAAAAAGAATGAAAATTTGAATCATTGAATGGATTGTGTCAATTTTATTGTTATCGATTCCGTTCATTTTTTATTTAAAAAACAAACAAAATCTTTATGTTAATTTAGATCAGATAAGTTTAATCAGTTTCTTAAAGGGTTTCTAACAATCTTACGAAATATTGATTAAATAAAGGAGAGTCCCCTTGGTGTCGTTGACATCGTCTGTTATTTTCTTTGATTAAACGGTACGCAGGAAATTGCAATTCGACGCAGTAAGAATATTAAAAAGAAATAAAGCGGAAATAATTGTAATAATTAATTTTAAACGTAGTGAGAGAGGAAGAATATGTCGGTGAGTTCACAAACGGATTCAAAAACAATTTTGAAAAATACAACGGACAAGCCACCTTTCAAACTTTGTTTCTCAAACCAACGACCAATTGGACAATCGGATGCTTACATTTCTAAGATCAATGGTATCTTTTAAATTATTTATCTATTTTTATTTCAATTATTAACTTTAATCGTCCATCTTTCATTTTTGTAGATCATTTTTAATCGATCGTTACAAAAATCGAATTTTATTTAAATATTAATTAATTATACGAATTTAATTAAATTTATTTAACAATTATCATATTTTATTTTATTAAAAAATAAAAAAAACATTACATTTATTAGTATAGTTGTTAATTATTGACAATATTTCAAATATACTACGTAATTTTAATATTTCTGTCGCCATTTTGACTAATGATTAATCAAATTAGAGTTTAAAAAAAAAAAAGGAACACATCCGTTTTAATATTGAAATTTATAAATTTTACAGCTAACTTTGTAACACCAAAATTTTATTCGAGAGAAAACGAGAATTTGAAAAATCTCGATTTGGACGATACAATTAAACGAATAAAAAAAGAGGATGAAAAAATTCCAAAAGGAATTTATCGGTGGCCATTGTTGACCAGTCACACGTAATATTAATTATTATTAAATAATTATATATTAATTATTTGAAAATTAATTAATTAATGAAATTTTTTTTTTTTAGTTATGGTTGGTGGCATGAAAAAGGAATAGAACCGAAGGATCAAAGATTTCAATTTCACAAAAAAACTTCGGATTTAGTAAGCTTTCAAATGAAGATATATGCGGAAGATAAAAAAACAAAGAATCCTAACCCCAATTTAAGTTCGAGAACGCCCATTTTTCGAGAAGGATATCTCAAGGATAATTTTTACGACAAAAGAAATCGTTTGTCCAAGGACAGACTTAACGGTGAATGAATTCTAACCTTCTTTAACATAACAATAATAATTGTTCACATACATTATAAGAAAAAATAATAATAAAATAATTGTGTATATAATATTGATAATAAAATAAAATATTAATTAATATTTAACAACATAAATATATTCGTTAGAGGTGTCTTATTACATTTTTTGTAAAGATTTTGCGCACGCGCATAAGTGCGTTCTATTTCTAACCTTCTATTGTAACAAAGGAATACAAACGAATTTGAGAAGGAACGAAATAATTGTTTCCCGCGCAAACAATTACTAATCAATTTCAATACTTATATAATTCATATTATATAAATCCATTCGTTATCACAATCATAAAAAAAAAAAATTATCATTCACAAATATAACACATTATTACTACATATTTATTGATAATTTTTCTACTTTGATATTTTTTTCTTCACATGGTTGTTGAGTGCAATGCACTTGTTGCCGTACATTAGCCGCCAAAATTGTATTCTCGAAACGATATCGAACTGACATTAATCGAAAGTTAACAACTAATCGTATCGAAATGTAATTTCGATTTATTCTCTTAATAACCAATCAGCATTGAGAACAGATTCAACTATCGAAATAACTCGAAACACTTGGACCAATCAGAATCGTGAATTTCTTCGTCTATAATATCAGACTAGTTCTCGTAGATTAAAAATAACATACAGCAAGAATATTCCGCCAAAAATGAATTCCGGCATGGTGGAAAGAATGAGACTTGGTCAAGAGGATATTGCGAATTCCGAAAGATATCCTTCACCTCCGAGGTTAGTTCATTAATTGAATCTTTTTATAATGTTTATATTAATCACTAATTTTTCGTATAAAATTAATATTATTCAGTTGTAATATAAAATATGGATGAAATTTGTTCACTTATCTGAGATCTTTGCAAGGTATTTCCTATTTTTCTTACCTGTTGCTTTTAAGGGAGAGAGGGGGTGCAGTGGGGCAAGTAAGGGGTACTACGGGATACAAGTGTATGACCTGTAATAAAGCGAACCAAGTTAGGTCAATAATCTTTTCTATAACTTTGTGTATATATATTTTTTTTTCTTTTTTTTTTCAAGTGACTAAATACCTTCCATCGTTGAGAGTATCATTGAGTTATTGGAAAAAATGTTTGATTAATAATCGTTATCCTTGAACTGATTAGAATTTGATTAGGGATTAGGTGTGGCGTGTTACCTTATTTGGAAAATATGTTTTTCATTTCGTCATTTTGATTTAAATGATCTTTTATTTATTCGTTCGATAAGATATTAAGAAAATTTGTATGATTTTGAAATCTTCACCAATTACTCAGAATACTCATTTTTCATTTCAGAATTTTATTTCTACTGTGATGTTTTTTGTTGTTGTTGTTGGTGTTTCTTTAGTAAATTAGTTGAAATTTGTATCACAGTGGTTTGTTTTGAATTTTCTTTTTCCTGCTGCTGCTGCTGCTGCTGTTGTTTTAATTTCTTATATTGAAGAACATACTTTTTATTTATGTCGTAGAATATATCTGATGTATTAAAGGAATTATTTGTGGTATGGTTTACAGCGCATGAACTTTATTTGTTGCTCACTTTGCGCTTTTAATTAACCGCTTTTATTTCCAAACACACAACTTACACAACTCATTCGTTTATTAATTAGTGAAAAAAAAAGAAAAAAAAAAAACAACAAAAATAATAAGATGAGTCGACAATCGTCCAGTTCACCTTGGTGGAACAGGTTTTGTACTAATTTTTTTGTAATTCAGTTTAAATCTAACCGACTAAATCATTTCTTTTACATAAATTCTCTTCTATTCGTGTTAATAAAAGTAATATCAAAATATTATTTTACAGCAAACGATTATGTACAGAGGATGAGTGTAATCATTTGAATAGTACATTTAATAGTACATCAAAGCTTAATACTAGGTGGTCGTACACTGCTGATGCTAGTTTTGTTGAACCAGAAATATTAGAAGACATGGGTGTTAGCATCATAGAAGATGATGCAGTGAACTGTGATACCAAAGTACAATCACCGGATTTTACTATTTCTTTAAATAATGCAGCAAGTAATGAACGGTTACCAATTAATGAGAATAATGAGACTTATGAATCAGAACCAAACTCTTTGTATATAGATTCTAATTTTAATTCCAACAATGTTGAAAGGTTTGTTATAATTATTATTTAATATTGGCTTGGCAAGAAAGTAATTTTGGCTTGCATCAATAGATAGCATTTATGTTTGTTTCTTTTGTTAATGTGTTAGCATTTTTTCTTAGGTATTTAATTTAAAGTTCATTTTTTTGTATAGAAACAATTGAGTTTTATTTGACACTAAAAAATCGAAATTATTTTCTTGTCAACCCAATATATAATTCATTAAATAATATATACATATATATATATATTTATTTTTGATTAAAGACTAGAACAAGAGCAGTACGATGTAGATGATCTATGCAATCATAAGAATCCCAATGAATCTGGTTATAGTTCTTCGAGAGTAGAGAATGAACCATTAGGGGATGCAAAAGATGAATTTCATAATAAAAAATTAAATATTTCCAATGATAATGATAGTTTAAATCATTTTTATTTGAGTAGAAGAAAAAGAAAATTGTCTTATGCTGGTAATGATGAATTCAACAAATTATCGGATGAAATGATTTTAATGATATTCAGATGGTTACCTAAAAGATGTTTGGTAAGGATTATATTATTTTTATTTTGTGCATATATTAATTTAATTTAATTTAAAAAAAAAACAACAAAAATTAGAAATTAGAACGCTTTATTTATAATATTTGTTAAAATTTAGGTACGTTGCATGTTAGTTTGTAAAAGATGGTGTCAAATAGCACGTGACGAAGCATTATGGATTAGACTTGATTTAAGTAGTAAAGTATTAATCGAAGGAACAATGGAACATATATTGCCACGTGGCGTTCAAATTTTAAGGCTTGCTCAAGCAGAAATTGCAGACCCAATATTTATGGAAAATGTTGAAGTTTTAAATAGTAATTATGTATGTAAACTACAATATCTGGATCTTTCAATGGCAGTAATATCACCGAATGGCTTAGCAACTTTATTATTGAAATGCAAACTTTTAAAAAATTTGTCATTGGAAAGTTGCATTTTGAATACTGCATGTTGTAATGCCATAAGATTAAATAAAGATTTATCTGTGTTGAATTTAGCTATGTGCGAAGGAATAGATCTAGAATGTGTTACACATTTAATTAACCTTAAAAGGTGAGCATTAATATCTCATTGGCGAAATTGTGTTGTTATTTTGAGGACTATTATTAGTAGCCAACACAAATATTATTATGTTTATTTTAGACATGTTACTATAAAATGCATGATGTAAATTATCGGAAAAAAATTTACATTTCATTGTCATAGCTTAACTGCTCTCAATGTGGCATGGTGTTCATTGGACGCAGATTCTGTCTCTCTATTGTGTAAATACCTTCCGCCTGTCCTTGAACGCTTGAACATTTCTGGATGCCGGAAAACTATGACGGATGATAGTAAGTAACCAATTTTTTTTCTTCTTTTTAATTTGTATTCTTTATTCATCAATATTAAGAGAACCAGAAAGTAATGTTGTTTCTACACATGTCAATTTTTATCATATTTAATCAATAACATAACCTCAATCTCGTTATCAACAACTTTTTTTCATATAGTATGCAAATTTTTAATACCAGACCAATCAAAATCAATTGATTTTTGATTAAAAATATAATTATATAATAACAATTTGTTAAGTTATTCGTTTGAATTTAAGGTTAGAAAGTGACATTACTTTCTAGTTTACCTAATATTTTTTTATCATGTTTAATCGGTATTATAAAATTTGCATACTATATGAAAAAAGGTTGTTAACAAGATTGAGGTTATGTTATTGATTAAAAATAATAATTTGTTAAGTTATTCGTGTTTGAATTTAAGGTTAGGAAATGACATTACTTTTTAGTCCACCTAATATTATATTCAATTTATGTTTAATGATTAATTATTTGTATTTTGTCTTTTTTTAGATATCAAAGAATTGGTCAAGTCTTGTCCAAAACTGAAAGAATTAGATTTAAGCGATTGTACATTGCTTACTATGAATTCAGCACCATATCTTTTAAATCTTAGTATTTTAGAACACTTATCGTTAAGTCGTTGCTATAGTATACCACCATCAACATTTGTTAGATTAGCTTATATGCCATGTTTAATGTATTTGGATATATTTGGTTTGATGTCAGACCCAATGTCTAAGTCTGTACAATCTAATTGTGGGGATACTCAAATTAATAAGTTCCGGTTTAGTTCTATAGCAAGACCTACGGTTGGTGTTCGAAGAACAAGTATTTGGGGCCTTAGAGTTCGAGACTGAGATCAATTTACAAAAAGTGATACATATATCTAAATTGTAGCAGAAAATTTCATTGCATAGAATGTTTTTTTTTTTTTTAATTTCTATGAAATATTAGTTTTCCCTGTGAGACTGATAATATTGTAACAAAAAAAAAATAAAGTATACAAAAAAAAAAATCAATGTAATAACTCAACTAACTAACACAATTAGCACAAAGATGATAATATTTTGATTTCAATTAATTTACTACTTAATCTATTTTATTGATGTCCCTTTATTCTTTTTGAAAGGGTGATTTACATTTTTGGTATTAGTATTACTAAAACTATTTACAATGTTGTCATAATATTAAAAGGATATTGTACATAACGATCCAATGATTTACTGTATGCTCGTATGTGTATACATACATATATATGCTGCATGCACGTGTTCATCAAGTGTGATTTTATTTAACTATTAATTATTATTGTATTGTATGCATTGTCAAAGAATAAAAAGACTTAGACAATTATAAACATTGTTCTTTTGTTTTGTTTTGTTTTGTTTCTTCTTATCATTCTTCTTATCATTTAAAGTGAAGAGAAAATGGGTTTCATAAAATATTGTATATATATTTGAATTTGATTTTAATTGTAAATATTTCTTTTTCTTATATTCTAATATACAAGGTTATTATAACATTAGAATTAACGTAATTTTGTCTTAGTTTTAAATTGAAACTCGAATAAGATATAACGTGTAAATGTGTCCCGTTCAATTTAACAAGTGTGTAATAATATTTTATTTGAATCAAATAAATGTTGTTATATAATAATTCATGATAATACTTATTTGGTATTATTAATTATAGAAAAAAGAAAGACAATTATTATTTTAAAGAAAAATTGAAATATTTGCAAGATTTGTTAAAAAAAAAAAGAAAAAAAAAGATGTCTAGTAATGATATTGTTAGACAAAATATAAATATTTCTTTGAAAGAATCAAATTGTTTGAAAAAAGATATTAACAAAAGTGATATTAGTGGGAATACATTGAACTTTAATTCTAATGGACGTGATATTGAACAATTCATTTATTATAGGAAAAAAGGAATATTGTTTTACACTGAAGAGGATTATTTTAATACCAAATTAAATAATGAATTAATTTTAATGATATTTCAATTTCTATCTATACGAGATTTGGTAAATGAATCAATTAATATTGTCTTATAAATAAATAAATAATTTTGATTGAATGGTCACTAGGGTGGGTCAAAAAAATCAATTATTTTTTTTTTTTTTTTTTTTACAAGTGCTACAGAAAAATGGGTTGCTAGATACTTTAAAAAAAAATTCTCACCAAATATGAGCTCTTCACTTTATCTCATCATATATCTCATATATCTCATCATTAATTGATTGTACAGAAAAATGTTCTAGACAAATTTTGTAGGAAATTTAATGCTTTACAAAAAAGGTATCTTATATTTTTTTCGTAAACCTCACCATTTGAATGTTATTGAAGATTTAAGTTTGATTATTTTCAGACAAATTTCATTTTTGTTTATGAATTTGATAACCGACAATAAATGACTATTATAAAATGCGCAATACAAATTTTTGTAGGAAATTAATTGCTCTATAAAAATGGTGTCTTATGTTTTGGCGATTAAATTAACCGTTCGAAAGATATTCATCATCAAACTTTCATGTGTACTGATTTCTGTCTCTGAATATCTATATGGGTGTCTAGCAACCCATTTTTCCGTGGCACTTGTAAAAAAGAAAAATAATAATTGATTTTTTTTGATCCACCCTAATGGTCACACAATGAATTTTGTTTTTATTAAATTTATTTAAAAATGTGAAGAAGTATAAAAACAAATAAAAAAAAAATAATCTTTTAGGTACAATGTACAATGGTATGCAAAAAATGGCACGAATTAACGTACAATGAAATTTTATGGAACAATTTGAATTTATTTCGAACGACATTATATGAAACAAGTTTGCATAAATTATTATCTAAAGGTGTACAAATTTTAACACTATCACAAGCAAAAATTTACAAACCGTTTATGATTAAAGAAATAAAAAATATTAATAATAATAATAATAATAATAATAATAATAATAATATTGATAACATGTATAAATTAAAATATTTAGATTTATCTATGGCAATGATATCTGTGAAAAATTTGTCTAAATTATTATCTAAGTGTAAATTTTTGGAAAAATTATCATTGGAAAGTTGTACTTTGAATACAGAATGTTGTAAAGAGATAAGTAATTGTATTGATATATCTGTATTAAATTTATCTATGTGTGGTGGATTAAATCTTACAGGTATTTTATCTGTACTTAAACTTAGAAGGTAAATTATTATGAATCTTTTTTTTCTTTTTTTAATATAATATAATTTAATATTATATTTTTTTTATTATTTTATATATTATTTAATATATAATATTATAATTTAATATTTTAATATAATCCAATTTTTTAATATATAATATAATTTAATATTATATATTTTTTTATTATTTTATATATTATTCACAATATATAATATTATAATTTAATATTTTAATATAATATAATTTTAATATAATATAATATTAAATTATTAAATATAAA